AAGATTTTGAAAACATTGCACATCAGTTCATGCAGTTATTTGACTTTCTATATCTGTAACAGAGGAGTTAACATGAAGCTTTGTAGCAGATACAAATAACGACAAAGCTAAAATCAATGGAGTAGACTTTGAAAGGCTTCAGAGGAGAGGGAGATATGAGTCAGGTAGACGGATAATCAGGCATCTTTGGCTTTCAATAAGCTGCTTTGTGGATTTTAATCATTTTCAGGATCTTTTGTCTCAGGATTAACAGAATCGTCAGAAACAGCTTTCAGAAGCAATTCAAGTTAGAAAATTCACCCTCCTTAATAAAGCAACCCCTGAGTCATCTCGGCTTTTTATGTATTTATAAGCAAATGGCAAATTTGTTCAGGTTTTGGCTTTTTTTTAGTTTATGTTAGGGGTTGCAAGATGGAGCACTCTGTAGCGCACTATTGCCTTGCACCAATAAGGTCCCAGGTTCAGTTTCCGGTTAAGGGTCTTTCTACATGGAGTTGCATGATTTCCATGCGTAAGCTGACTTCCTCAGTACAAAAACATGACTGTTAGGTTAATTGGTATCTTTAATTTGTCCTTGAGTGTGTGTGTGTACTTTTGCACGATTGTATGTCCCTGTGCTGCCCTGCAATGGACTGGTGATTGCGCTGTTCTTTCCTCTCCACTGTCGCTACAAGCATGCTTAGTGTGAGGGATTGCTGAAGAGTCAATGAGTCGATGCCATCAGCTGGTTTTCCTTAGATAGTAAAATTTTAATCAATCAGACTGGATGATCTGGTTGAACTGTGCCTTGAGATGTTGTGTGCTGGGAATTGGTGCTATAGAAATAAACTGGATTTAACTGAATAGATTTCATAAGCTGTGAGTTTTCTCTGCTGTGGGAGGTAACTGGTTTTTGTTGCAGGGATAGAGCAGGGGAGTCGAGACTAGGGGTGTAAATAATAATGGTTTTGTATCGATGCATCGATCCAACAGCCGATGATCAGACGCATCGATACGTCCGCTAGATAATAATCGATTGATGTTTTTTTTTTCCTCTGGTCTATTTTTATTCATTTGCTCCTGGGCGTAATTTTCCCTCCCGTGCTGCGGTGGCGCTAAACCTATTTTGCCCTCCTATCCCGCTTCCTGGTTATACTCTTGCAGCAGTGTGTTGCAGTGAGCTTGATGCAGACATTTTTAAATTATGCTCAATATTGAAGCGTGGTCTGTGCTACACGCTGTGGGTCTAGATACGGCC